ATCGACGTGGCGTCCGTAGAGGTGCCAGTACCAGGCAGTCGAGCCGACGGCGAAGAGAGTCGCTCCGGCGGGCAGGGCGTTGTTCTTCCAGGCCGAGGCGGCGCTGTCGGCGGAGGACCATGTCGAGGCGAAGCGCTGTATCACGCATTGGGTCAGCCAGATGATTCAATGGAAGCGGGGGCTGGCCCGAGTATGGCAGCCGGGCCAGCAGGGCGGCGACGCAGCTTGCGCCAGCTGCCGGGAGATGCTGGGCCATGCGGGAGGCGTACCGGTTTGCTCGAGGCATTGCGGGCGGCGGCGGCGGCGGAGCGTGCCGTACGCAGTGGTGAGCGAGCCAACATGGTCGTGGGAAGCTGGCTCGGGGCTGGGGGAGACGCGAGCAATGGGTTGTCGGCGATGGTGATGCGGCGGAGAACTGGTGCGAGACCATTTTCCAATTTCCAAGCTAACTAATCCACATCACGTGCGCTATCATTGGACGAGGCTGCCATGACGCCTCCGGACTGTATTTTGCTCTCGCACATCGCCTTGCATGCGAACGCGAGTGTACTCGAGAGGTGCAGGCTGCGACTGGCAGTGCGGCATCACATGGCATGGCAGGCAGTGCAGAGGGTCCCGCGTGGAAGAGACTTCGTCCGTGATACGCAGCAATGTAGCCCTACTTCTATACCCTTTCGCTCATGCAGGAATTGCAAAAGGGCTCAAACGAGGGCTGCTTCTCTCTAGCAAGACTGGCAGTGCCGGGGCAGTGCCAGAACACACGGCGTCCCCAGGAGCGGGAGACGTCGTCGAGCTTCTTGCGTGGTGCCAGAACGCAACGCGACGTCGGCCTGGCTTATATAGTGGACACGGCCCCGATGCGAGCTAGGCTGCATCTAGCCGCGAAGAGAGCGCTGGAGGACCTCGAGCTCTCGCGGCGCAGGGGACAGGTCGCGACACAGCACACGAGAAGCTAGATGCACCGCTTCACCTACCATGGACGTCTTCTGGCCGCTCCCAGCCGCCGACTGAAGCCACGGCGGACGCTACTGCACACGCTCACACCGAACGCGCGACTCTCTCTTCCCCCCACCAACAGCCCTCGCCCGGTCCCTCGTCCCCCACCACCCTCCCGTCACCCTGCCCTTGTCCCCGCAAGGCACTGTTCCCACCGACGAAATATGTGCAAGCACTTCGGCGCAGAGGGCCACGCGTCCATCGACATCACCAAGGGTCGCGAGGTGCTGCCCGCCAACGTCAAGCCCGTCCACTACGACCTGACACTCGAGCCCGACTTTGCCAACTTCACCTACCAGGGCACCGTCACCATCGAGTACGTGCCCGTCCGCCCGTATGAGAGGGCCCTGCTGACACTCGGCCAGTCTAGATGTCGTCGACGACACCACGTCCATTGCCCTCAACACCAACGAGCTCAAGATCCACTCGACCAAGGTCACGGCCGGCCAGCAAGTCATTACCGAGTCGCCCCATGTCGCCACCGACGACGATGCGCAGACGACCACGGTCAGCTTCGACCAGGCCATTCCGGGCGGTAGCCAGGCGAAGCTTACCATGGCCTTCGCCGGAGTGCTGAACGACAACATGGCCGGCTTCTACCGCTCCTCCTTCAAGGCTGCCGACGGCTCCACCACATACATGGCCACGACGCAGATGGAGCCCACAGATGCCAGGCGGGCGTTTCCTTGCTTCGACGAGCCCGCGCTCAAGGCCAAATTCACCGTCACCCTCATCGCCGATGAGAAGATGACCTGTCTCAGCAACATGGACGTAGCGTCGGAGAAACAGATCCAAAGCACCATCTCGGGCGGAAGGCGCAAGGCCGTCACCTTCAGCCCGACGCCTCTCATGTCGACCTACCTCCTATGCTTCATTGTCGGTGAGCTCAACTACATCGAGACGAACAACTTCCGCGTCCCTGTGCGAGTCTATGCGCCAAAGGATCGGGACATTGAGCACGGCCGCTTTTCGCTCGAGCTGGCGGCAAAGACGCTGGCATTCTACGAAAAAACCTTTGACAGTCCCTTCCCGCTGCCCAAAATGGACATGGTCGCGATTCCCGACTTCAGTGCAGGTGCCATGGAAAACTGGGGCCTCGTCACATATCGTGTCGTCGACGTGCTCATTGACGAAAAGGTCAGCGGGGCAGCTACCAAGCAGCGCGTCGCCGAGACGGTGCAGCACGAGCTTGCCCACCAGTGGTTTGGTAATCTCGTGACCATGGACTTCTGGGACGGCTTGTGGCTTAATGAAGGATTTGCAACGTGGATGTCGTGGTATTCCTGCAACGTCTTCTACCCTGACTGGAAAGTCTGGGAAGGCTATGTTACAGACAATCTAGCCAGCGCACTCTCGCTCGACTCGCTAAGAAGCAGCCATCCCATCGAGGTACCGGTAAAGCGCGCAGACGAGATAAACCAGATCTTTGATGCCATCTCATACTCCAAGGGCTCGAGTGTCATCCGCATGATCTCCAAATATGTCGGAGAGGACACCTTCATGGAAGGAATCCGCCGGTATCTCAAAAAGCACGCCTATGGCAACACAGAGACTGGTGACCTCTGGGCTGCCTTAGCGGATGCCAGCGGCAAGGATGTTGGCAAGGTCATGGACATCTGGACCAAGAAGGTCGGCTTCCCAGTCGTTACCGTCACGGAAGGCACTGATTCCATCCACCTTAAGCAGAACCGCTTCCTCCGCACTGCCGATGTCAAGCCAGAGGAGGATCAAACCCTGTACCCCGTATTTCTTGCGCTGCGGACCAAGGAAGGAGTTGACGAAGACTTGACGCTTTTCGATCGTGAAGCCGACTTTAAGCTCAAGGAACTCGACTTCTTCAAGCTTAATGCGGACCACTCTGGCCTCTACCGGACCTCGTACACGCCAGAGCGCCTACGGAAGCTGGGCATCTCGGCCAAGGAGGGCCTCTTGACCGTTGAGGATCGAGCCGGCATGATTGCCGACGCAGGCTCGCTGGCGGCATCTGGCTACCAGAAAACGTCTGGTATACTCTCGCTCCTTGACAGCTTCAAACACGAAGCAGAGTTTGTCGTCTGGGGAGAGATCACGGGTCGTATTAGTTCCCTCCGGGGTGCATGGATGTTTGAGGACCAGAAGATCCGGGACGCTCTGAAGAAGTTCCAGTTGGAGCTCAGCGCAGAGAAGGCACATGAGCTGGGATGGACATTCAATGAAAAAGACGGTCACATCGAGCAGCAGTTCAAGGGTCTCATGTTTGGTGCTGCCGGTATCGCTGGCGACGAAGAGATTACCAAGGCATCCTTTGACATGTTCGACAAGTTCAAGGCAGGCGACAAGTCTGCCATTCACCCCAACATCCGCGGCAGCGTGTATGCCATTGTGCTAGCGAATGGTGGGCAAGAAGAGGTAAGCAGTGCTACGAGGATGAATGGAACGCAGACTGACCAGACGCAGTACAATGTCATCGTCAACGAGACTCGGAATGCCGCCACAAGCGACGAGCGCAACTCGGCTCTTCGCGCACTAGGCCGTGCCAAGTCTCCAGAGCTCATCCAGCGCACGCTTGCCATGGCTCTCAGCGACGAAGTCAAGGGCCAAGACATCTACTTGCCCATTGCAGCATTGAGGTCACACGCGGAGGGCTGTCATGCGCTCTGGAAGTGGGTCAAGGATAACTGGGAGGAGCTGGAGAGAAGGCTCCCCCCTAGCCTGAGCATGCTGAGTTCGGTGGTTGCCATTACAACATCAGGCTTCACCCACCGGGAACACATAGAGGACATTGAGGCGTTCTTCAAGGGCAAGAGCACCAAGGGCTTTGACATGGCGCTGTCCCAGAGCATCGACGCCATCAGCGCCAAAGCCGCATGGCTTGAGAAGGATGCGGACGATGTCAAGACGTGGTTGAAGGAACACAAGTATCTGCAGTAGGCGCCCCTGTCGGTGCACTGCTATGAGAAATGGCTGTACAATATAGATGAAGAAATCAAAGACCCATGCCGTTAACGCTATCGATAAGAGTGCGCGATACCCAGGGAGCCGGTGCGTGATGAAGCTAGCATGTACCATGAATTGTGTCCAGAAGGGTGCCTACGTCAGCTTGCCGAACGTGGGACCGCCAGTTCGGCCATGGCTCTCTGAAGAGTACAATCGGAACGCCACCACCTCACGTTGACTTTGTGGCGCTCGAGCATTATATCGCAATAGACACAGCGCTAGCCTCCACGATACTTCCAAGGGTTGTCGGAAGCTCGGTTTCGAGTTGCGCGCAGCCGCCAGAGCCGTCATGGCGCAAAGGATGCCGCGATCCGGCACACGCGCAGACGCGAACCCAGACGCAGACGCAGACGCGCTCGCGCTCGATGACACGGTAGAGCTCGAGCAGTTCCGCCGCTCACCCCATCCATACTTGCGTCACGGAGACCAGACACAGAGGCAGTCACCAGGCCAGACGCATCGCGCCCCTCCGCCCTCGCAGTCGCGACCCTCTTCCGAGCCTCCAGGCAAGACAATGCACGACAAGGACGGCAGGACACGCAGGAAACGGGCACCGCACTCCCCGAGCGAAAGCGGCACCGAAGCCGACGACGAGGGCTACAGCCTCGTCAAGGCGTTGCCTGCTCCTCCCCTGCGACCGCACAAAGGCCTCCGCGAATCGCGGACGTCGGGCCCAGACGAATGGGCGAGTCCGCTGCTCACTCCCACACAGATCGATGACGAGGGGAGAAAGCTCCTCGAGGGCTACTTCGCTCGCACCAACCGGACGAGGCGCAAGGGAGACGCATACCACAGCGACGACGACGAGGCGAGGAGGGCCAAGCAAAAGTATCTCCAGCGGCGGCGCAACGAGCTGGTCAGGCGAACGACCGAAACTGCATTGCTCGTGGGCATTGCCACGCTCGCCGTCCGCGGTTGCGACTGCTGGGTCAATTTGCTGGCATGGCATAGAGGTCAGCTCACCCCCCACGCATGGGCCCAAGGTCGTTAACCCGTGTCTAGTAGAATTGTTGACGCACGTTGCAATCATGGCCGGCGTCTTGGGACTGTATCCGCTTCGTCTTCTGTACTACTCATGGAGAAATCACTCTCGTCTCCGGCTTGGCCGTCGAATACATCTACCAGCCGCCTTCGACCCTGCCACCATACTCTACCCTCCAATACTGCCCGTCCTCATTGCGCTGTCACTCTTTGCCTCATCATCAAAACCTCTTCTACCCAACATGTTGCTCGGCTTAGCTGCGTTGCCAGCCAGACTTATTCCCTTCAGGAGCGCTACCTTGGGCTACTCTCCTCTGCACTGGCTGGTCTCCATCATGCCCCTGATCGCTGCCGAGAACACCGACATACCGTCTCGGCTGTTTGCACAGACACCATACAAACTCAAGTTACCCCCGCCTAACCAAGGTCTAGATCCCGAACTTCTGGTGACGTTGTTTGCTCTGCATCAAGCGCTGCTACCGCCGCTATACTACCTCACCACTACGAGCCTTCTACCAGCAGAGCTGCACCTGCTTTCAATTGGGCTTATCAACCTCCTCTTGTTCTCAGACACCCCTCAAGCAGCCATACTCGGTGTCTTACTGTGGCTAGGCGGGCTGGGGGTGTTTTTGCTCTGCGGCAACATCTTGAAGTGGGGCGTTGCACTTGCACGCATTCCGCGATGGAGGCTTCGACGTGCTGGCCAAGTCATTCGAGCTCGACAGAACTTCTTGCAGGTGTTGACCCGTAGTCTGGGATCCAAACGCGATGGAAGCGATTCCTGGAAAGATGTGAGTGACAGTGATGCGGATGAAGAACCCAGATTCGACAAGCCCCTCCAAAAGACCAAGAGCCTTAAAGTCAACTTTTTAGACTCGGTCAGACACATCAGACCCTGCATGGAGGGCAGCGAGCCGCGGTCCGCCGCCGAAGCGACAAAGACTGGGTTTCAGCAGTCTACTTCTGCAAAAGGGTCCACTCATAACAGTGGACGTAAGCGTAGGAATACCCTCCCAGTCCTCGTTGCTGAAGACCATACGTCACAGCATCGGTATTCGAACCGAAGACAGTCGGGATCGATTGTGCAGTCTTATTTATCGCTCACGCCCACCGAAGCCACAAGGAGGAAATGGCTCTACGCTGGATACTTCTACGTGATTGTGGTAGGCCTGATACTGGGACCAATTCGGTATAGTATCGGCAAATATGCTCTTCACCATCACGAACCTTTTGGATGGGCCATCAGCTACCTCTTCGGCAATATATCACGCGTGCGGTGGGAAGTGTTCAAGTGGGATTTGAACTGGTGGGTTCCTCTGCCGACAAGACGACACGCAGATGACATGGCCCGACTCACACACTATCTGTCGTTGGCGGAATATGTTCGTCGCATAGTACTGGGAGAAGCGACTACGCGTCTCTTGCTGTGCGTGTACTGTGCAGGAACCATACTCGCTGGCCTCGTAGCGGTCTTTTCGCTTTCTGCAGTGGTAGAAGTCGACACACGCAGAAAGGTGTTCCACGGCACCATGGTGGCGATGCTCCTGCCGACCATCTTTATCGACCCTTGTTTTGTTGCGCTGGCGCTTGCACTGGTACTTGCGATATTCCTCCTCCTCGATCTGATTCGCGCCTCGCAGCTTCCGCCGCTGTCCAAGCCCATTGCCAGGTTCCTGACGCCGTACGTGGATGGCCGCGATCTCCGAGGCCCCGTGGTGGTGTCGCACATCTTCCTCTTGATTGGGTGTGCGATCCCGCTGTGGCTATCGCTCGCAGGAGTGGAACGGGCTGGCGACGAGCCGTGGCAAGGCTGGGAGGTGGAAGACAGGGACGTGAGTATGGTGGCGGGAGTTATATGTGTGGGCATGGGCGACGCAGCAGCATCCCTCGTCGGGCGGCGCTATGGGCGGCGGAAATGGCCCTGGGCGGGCGGCAAGTCCCTGGAAGGGTCCTTGGCGTTTGCAGTCGCAGTGTCGGCTGGACTCGTGGTAAGTAGAGTGTGGCTCCACGTCGGGTGGGAAAGCGGTGCGGCAGGGCACAGGACGGAGGGCGAGTGGGCTCACGACGCATTGCTCACGCTGGGCAAGGCGGCTCTGTGCGCGACAGGCGCAAGCCTCAACGAGGCGGTCCTCACAGGCGGCAACGACAACGTGATCGTGCCAGTGATACTATGGGTCCTTGTGAGGGGTGTCAGGCTGTAGGCAGTCGACGCCGCCGCATCAGGCGGGCTGCAGGTACGGCGTAGATAGACGGGTCGACCCGACCATGAAGCCGGCCACATGGTCGTTCGCGCAGGGGAGCATGACTTGCATTCAGAATGCGTGCGACCAGACAAGAGGCATGTTGGAGCGTGCAGGCGGGCGATGTGGTGCTAGCGCATGAGGGGCACGCGTCGTTATCAAGCATCCCGGCCGGCTTCCTGCATGTGACACGCGCACGCCTGCCTCGAGCCACGGCGTCGGCCTCTTGTACTGCCTGTGGTGCTCCTCGCTCCCCCGACACGCTGCGCTCGCGATACCCTACTCTCCCACTCGTCTCTGCCGCCCTGCGCCGAACCTCTTCTCTCCCGCGCCCAGCTGCTCGTCGCGCCCTGCATCCCCGTCCCTCGGCCATCCATCACCACCATCGGCCGCCCTCGACCACCGCCCGCCTCCCGCCAGCCCATGTCCAACGCCCTCACGGCCGCGCTGTACCCACGTCTTCGCTGGTAGCTGACGCCCGGCTGCTCAGCCAGCGCCGCCGACCATGGCAACACCTCCCAACCCGCACGCCCCCAGGCGGTCGGGCGCGTCGCCGCCAGTGTCGACGCCCGCAGCCACGGGCTCGGAGCAGGTCATCGGAAAGTTCAAGCGCCTGCATCACATTGGCAAGGGCAGCTTCGCCGAAGTCTACCGCGGCATTCACATTGTACGTTGCTGCCCTCCCTTGCCCGGGGCGTGCACCGAGTGCTAACTGTCTCGCCGCACAGGAGAAGCGCCAGTCCGTCGCCATCAAGTCGGTCAATATGAACAAGCTCAACAAGAAGCTCAAGGACAACCTCGTCTCGGAAATCTCCATTCTGCGCAGTCTGCACCACCCGCACATAGTCTCGCTCATCGACTGCCACGAGACGCCGTCCCGCATGCACATCATCATGGAGTTCTGCGAACTCGGCGACCTGTCAGCCTTTATCAAGAAGCGCGCCGACCTCGTAAACCACCCACAGACGCAGCGCATGATAGAAAAGTACCCGAACCCGACCGTTGGCGGCCTGCACGAGGTTGTCGTCCGCCACTTTGCCAAGCAGATGGCGAGCGCCCTGGAATTCCTGCGGTCCAAGAACTACATTCATCGTGATCTCAAGCCCCAGAACCTGCTCCTCAACCCCTCCTCCATCTTTTACTCGCAGAGTGGCACCCTCGAACGCATGCCTCTGGCTGCCAGCGCCAATTCCTTGATACCCGCCACCGGCATCGCCTCGCTGCCCATGCTCAAGATCGCTGATTTCGGCTTCGCTAGAATTCTGCCGACTACCTCGCTAGCCGAAACCCTGTGTGGCTCTCCCCTCTACATGGCACCTGAGATTCTGCGGTATGAAAAGTACGACGCAAAGGCCGACCTGTGGTCTGTGGGAACTGTGCTCTTCGAAATGATGTGCGCCCGACCGCCATTCAGGGCGAACAACCACGTAGAGCTACTGCGCAAGATTGAAGAGCGCAAGGACCAGGTCAGATTCCCAGAAGGCCTCGTCTGCACCAGGGCCATGAAGACCCTTATCCGCGCACTCTTGAAGCGAAAGCCAACCGAACGCATGTCATACGAGCATTTCTTCTCAGATGCCGTCATTCGCGATGAGATTCCAGACATGGTCGATGAGGACCTTCCGGGTTCTATGCAAGCGTCTGAGCGCATGCAAACCTCCGTATTAGAACCACCCATTGAGCCACCCCAGCGAGTCCACAAGGCGCCCCTCGAGCTGGAATCTAGGCCTACTGACAGCCCATACTCGATCTCGACCAGGGACAGGATGACAGGCCTTGGGACAACACCACCTTCACGGCCGGCTTCTCGACCTGTATCCGGCAACTTCTCAGGCACTCCACCGCAATATCTGCCTGCAAGACGAGCTAGTAACGCCCCTATTGAGCCCACCGACGGACGCACTCCAACGCGTGAGCATCGTCGGCCTACGCTCACCAACGCTGCAACCGCACCAGGACGTACTGCGACGCTGCAAGACCAGACGACAGCACCTACTGCCACCAGCCACAGGCGCAAGTACTCTCGCGACGAACAAGGCCCGCCACACATCGGTCTCAAGGAGCACCTGGATCGCGAGCGAATCCCACAGAGGACGGAAGCAAACGTGTTGAAAGAGGCGGCAGAGCGAGCAGCACAAGATAACGCGCTTGACGAGGGGTTTGTCTTTGTGGAAAAACGGCGTGTGGAGATTGACGCACTGGCAGACGAGATTGCGAATAGTCCACAAACACAGCGGGATCGTCCCCTCCACCGGGAAGCAGCGATGAAGCGACGATCGACAACGCAAGGGTCCCCAACATCAACCACTGGCGCAGTCCCCTCGAAAGCCATCCAGATTCAGCAAAAGCCTACCATTACGCACCAGCGCACAGCTTCTTACAGCCGGCGACAATACCGCCCAAGCTTTGAAACCGCCACCTCTGCCCTTTCCAAGGCTATGAACATGGTCAATATCCGAGGGCTTGGTCTGTCTCCGCCGGTCATGAAGGGCGTCTCACCCCCACAGGGCTATTCCGCATTCCCAGCCTATCCCACTGCGCAAAGCAGCATGCTAATGGTCGGCGATGGAGGCAAATCCGTTGGCAAAGATGAAGATACCATGACGGTGAAAAGGATTGAGGATCTGGCCCAGCTCAGCCACGTTGTATATGGCTTCGCTGAAGTCAAATACAGTCAGCTTGTTCCGGTTGCACCAAGCGACCCAGCTTTAGGAGTCGGTTCCACTGGCGTTGCTCGCAAGCCCAACAGCGATGTGATCGACGATGACGATGACGACGAAGATTTGACGCCTGATACTATTCTCATCATTTCCGAGGAAGCGCTGGTACTCTTCGTCAAGACGTTAGCAATGTTGAACAAGGCTATGGACCTGACCGGCAGCTACTGGAATCGCGCCCGCCGTAATAGTGGCCCCGACGGAACAAGCCGAACCAATGCAAAGCTGGGTCAGGTGGTCTCATGGATGCGTGATCGATTCAACGAATGCTGCGTCAAATCTGAGATTGTCGCACGTAAGCTCAAGCAGGCGCAGGGGCAGCTACCGGCAGATCATCCAAGCCATCCTCACAATCAATCGGCGGCATCCAGCTCTACAACTGCTGTAGGTTCTGCGGAGAACATTCTACTTACGACTGGTGTTACCGCTGAGAAACTATTATATGACCGGTCGCTAGAGATGAGTCGCCAGGCAGCCATTGATGAACTCACTGGACACAACCTGGCGGACTGCGATATCAACTACTGGACTGCCATCACGATGCTTCAAGCTGTTCTTGAAGAGGAAGAAGAATCGTCCAACGAGAAGGCTGATGCCGAGGAGATTAATGGCCTCGACGGCGAAGATCGGCGCTCGATCCAGAAGCGTAAGTCTCGCTACAGTGTCCCCAAAGTGTACCCAACTAACCAACGCAGTCCTTGAACAAATGAGAAGCCGGCAACGGGCTCTTAAGAAGAAACTCGACGTTGTCAGGACTCAAAAGCGCACTTCTATCACTAGTGCGCCTGCACAACATTCCGTGGGACGCAGCTCTTCTTCCCAAGGTGTCGCAAAGTAGTCATGCATCGTACAAAACCACCTTTTCAAGTATCAAACTTACAACTGCTTGTTTTCGCACCTAGGGACGGCACTATCCTTACGAGCCCCTGCTCTCTGTGTATGGGTTTATCATTCGGTATTCTTTGCGTGGTTTGGGACAACGGGGCGTCATGAAGGGCATTGGCGCACTCGCATTCGTTCGCATATGATACCAGGATCTTGAATAGCAACGACGTGCAAATTTTTCTCATTATCAGGCGTTTGAAATGAATAGCGGGTTCAGGCGCACGGTTGGGTTGGCATTCTGCTATGGAGGGACAGTGCTTGCATTGGTTCTGGGCTGGCCTTTGAAGCAATAGAACGTGTATCGAGACTTGCACGAATTATTAGTAGCTGGGGAATAACAAGAAGTGGTCAGTGTATCGAACTTGCAGACCATGCAGCAGATATGAAATGTGACACCTGCAGGCTGAATTCCCTGTTTACCATCATACGCGCAACCTCAGGTCGTGCCAGTAGACACCGGAGCTTTGCAAATGTTCAGCCCACATGACCATCCAAGCTAATGTACAAGCATGATGTTGCTCCACGCAATGAGCTTGGGCGTCCGTCTCGAGACCGCGTTTTCAAGAAATGGAAATGCTTATGATCTTAATATCCTCCTCCGGCTTCTCTTTGTATACTTTGGTATTCTCGATTTTGTGAATAACATCCATCCCAGCAATCGCTCGTCCGAAGATGGTATGCTTGTTGTCAAGCCAGGGCTGCATACATGTCACAGTCAGCGCACCGCCTCATCGTGAAACTGAAAGTAAACGAGAAGACAAGGACTTACCGTCTTTTCGGTGGTAATGAAGAATTGACTTCCGTTCGAATTTGGGCCGGCATTCGCCATGCTCACTGTGTAGGCTTTGTCGTGTCTCAAGTTGGAGAACTCATCTGCAAACTCCTTGCCCCAAATACTCTCTCCACCAGTGCCGTCACCAAGTGGGTCACCAGTCTGTATCATGAATTTGCGGATCACGCGGTGGAATATGACGTTGTTGTAGTAGTTGTTGCGCGCGTGTGTGACGAAGTTTTCCACGGCCTTGGGAGCGGCGTCCGGAAAGAGACGGATGGTAATATCGCCGTAGGTGGTGTGGAGAGTAGCTGTAGTGCCTGTTGCGGCGAGTGCTTTGTCGTCTCTTTGTTTGCTGGAGGCAGCAACGCGAGGCTTTTCGTTCTGCACATCACGGGTCGACTTGGTAGCGCTGGCATCGTTAGTGTACATGTAGAAACGGACCTTGCCAGAACCTGTAGTGACGAGCATGGCATCTCTGGCCTCGGCTTCCTGTAGTAACGGGTTCTCGCTCGCTGCCATTTCGACAGTGACAACACCCTTTTTCTCTGGTTGCCCTTGGTAGAGGCACAGCCATAGCGGTCTGA